CATTTTTGGTCAGGATTTTGACCTAACTTTCGGGGAAAGTTTCATATAGTTCCATTTGTATTTTGCAAAAGTGATTCAAAGATGGGTTGTAGATCACATTACAAGCTTTCTAAAATGTCTAATAACTCCTTGAGATCATTTGTGATCAAGGAGAATCGAAGGCCAAAAGTTAGGGTTTCAAGTTGTTTTGCAAGGCCAAATTTGTGATGCAACATGAACCAAATCCATAGCCATGCTGCATAATCTTCACTTTGTAGGCCTAAAACTTGTTTGTCACTCCTTAATTTAATGTTTACACAACATATGGATCCATTGTCCAAGCATTTGAATCATTATCCAAGTTGCATTTCCATTTTTGGAAGAAAGGCGCCTTTGATATTCTTGAAAAGTGACTTTAATCACAAAGTCAACTTGTATGGAGCTTTGCAATTGTTCTTTCTGCACAAGAATACTCTATAAACTCAGTAAAAACATGTTTAAAGTTGCTAGCCACCCTACAAGACATTTACCTTGCATTAAAACCATGCTTGTCAAGATAACTTCAAAAACAAGTCAAGAACTCATAACATGTGATTCTTTGTTTCTGATCATTTAAAACCTCAAAACCTTTCCTCTATAAATAGATATACTATTTTCAAGAGAACCCACGCATACACAAGCCCTAAAACTCCCTAGAACTCAATTGTATCCCCAATCACCATTATTGCACATTCTGACCAAAAACTTGAAACTCATATTTGCCTCGCGCATTTTCAAGCCTTTTGGTTCCTAAAGCTTCTAAACATCAAATACAACTCATCCCTGAACCTGTTTCATAACTGTAACTCCATTTTCATCAACCTCCATAACCAAAAATAGATCTCTGCAAGTTGACTTATCCAGAACTTCTCAGCCACTTTCAGCTCAAGCCAAGCATCACATTAGCTTCCTGGGAACTTGAGGAAGCTAACCCAATCACTGGAACTCATTAAAAGCTTCTCAAACTCAAAACACGATACCCTCTTGCAAGGTGAGTTTTCTGAATTTTGAACTCTTCATATAGGCATCATTAATGTTTAATTTGTGAATGAAAAAAATAAATATAACTTACCTAAAGCTAACCATGTCTATAGTTTTCATTTTTGTTGCTTGAGCTTAGAGAATTTTAAGATTGAAGTTTCTGGAAAAGTTAGTGTTCAGATTAGGGCCAATAAAATGCATGCTTGTCTTTTATCTATAGTTTAAATGCCTTACATTTCTGAAATTGTGTGGAAATTTGCCACAAGATTCATGTTTACACTTTTGCAAATGGATGAGAAATGAACAAGATGCAGGTGGTCTGGCTAGGCGCGAGGTTGAAGATGAAGTTGTCTTCAGGAAGAAATTTCTAATATATATTTATGCTTTTATTATATGAACGGATGAAACAGGTCACCCCATTGGTACAAGAAGCGCGCGCATATTAGAAGGTCCTGGGTTCGAGACCCAGTGAGACCTTTTGTAATTTTTACTCTTTTTTTCATTTATTATGAATCAGGCGCTTGGGCCTTAACCCCCTGGGCCTAGCATTTTTGCTTATCTCATAATCCCTGTTTCACTTGCATACATCCTGGCCCATTTTCTTTCTTTTATATTTATTATTATTATTATTATTATTATTATTATTATTATTATTATTTTTATTGTCATTAATAAAAATCCAAAAAATATTTTTATTTTATTATTTATATTTAGTTAGTTTATTTTTCTTCATAAAACAAAAGAATAAAAAACATTTTATTTAATAATTTAATTTCCCTCTTTTAAAATACTTAGATAATTAGTCTTCATTATTATATATTATTTTCTTGTAAATTAAAATCAATTTATAACTTAGGACTTTTATTTAATTAATTTTATTTAATCAAATTCACAACAAAAAAACCCTAAAAATTTTGTTCTCTTTAAATTAATTTATTTTACTAACTTAATCTTAATTTTCTTATTTTTAGTTAATCATTTTATTTTAGTTAACTAGGTAAAAAAACCTTTTCATGAAAACCAAACAAAAATCACATTCTTTTTACATTTACATTCTTGCATTTTTATTTAGTCATTTTTTTGTACAATATTCAATATGGTTCTAATAATTATTTAGATTTAATTTTCTTGCAATTTCCCCATTTGTAAATTTGTACACCCCCTCCCCTAAATGATGCAATAGCTTAGTATTTTTATTTTCCGTAATTTAATGCTTTATATACAAATGCTAGTAATTACGGTTTGTATGGAAATATTAAAACCAACAAATAGAAAACCCTAATCAAGACAAATCAAGCATGAAAAAGAGACACTTGCACCCTTTCACTCTTAGGGTAAATCCACTTTGTTGCCTTATAAAATGGCTATATTATGCATGTGGGGTATCTTAGCAAAAACAAACAAAATACAATATCATAGTCTCTCGATGACGCTGTCAAAGTTGCCTTTCAAAAAATGATCTTAGTCCCTTAAAGAAAATCCTAAGATATCTTACAACATTGTTAATCATGGTTATACGATGATCCACGCCTGTCTCTTTTACATCCAAAGATAGGGTTCTTTACCAAATCAATGGTAAGATAACAATGTCAAAGAAAAGAGGAAATAAACATGAAATACTTTTGAGTAGGTAAATTGTTCCTAGTTGCTTGCTCAATTTCAAACCAAAAACATCCTTGTTATTTTCAAATAAACACCAACACTTTCAAAAACATCTTTCAAACTTGAAAACATTTTCAAAAGATCAACACTTTGTATACATTCTTACGAACGAGAATCATTACAAAGTTTGCCTAAACGATGACGCCTTTTCAAAATACTTTCAAAAACCACACAAAGCACATTTTCAAACAAAAGTAAGTGATCTAACAAGCTACTAAGAGCCCATGGAAAACCATGGATGGAAAGGGTTCTAACACCTTTCCTTTTTATAATCTACCCCCCGAACTCAAGAAAACATCTATAAAGGTCTTTCCATTTCTTTTCAGCCTTTCCTTTTGGATAAAAGAACAGTCGGTGTCGACTCTTGTTAACCGCAACATTTGCGATAAAACGCAAAACAACCAAGTCGATTCTCCCACCGTGTTACAAATAGGAAAGACCTTTGAGATATTTTCTTGAGTTCGGGGGGGGGGGGGGGGGGTTATGAAAAGCGAAGGTGTTAGCACCCTTTTCATCCGTAGTTATCTACTGGCTCTTAGTTGCTTGCTAGATCACTTGAAAATGCTTTGTTTGAAAATGTGTTTTGTGTTGGGTGCAAGTTTTGAAAATATTTTGAAAAAGCCTTTGTTTTGGCAATCTTTGTAATTATTCTCTTCTCTATAAAAATGTATACAAAGTGTTGGTTTTGAAAATAGTTCAAAGAGATGTTTGTTTTTGAAGATGTTTTGAAAGTGTAAGTATGGAAATGGTTTTAATTTATGAGCAAGAAACTACGAGTGTCCTACCTACTCAAAAGGTCTTTGTTCTTTTCCTCCTCCTTTTGATGTTTCTATCTTACCATTGATTGGTAAGAAGCCTCATCATTAGATGTGAAGGGACAGGCACGGGTCAGTCGTACAGTCATAGAAGGAAACTTGTGTGAGATTTAGCAATTTTTGTAAGGGGCTGGATCATTTTACCGAAAGCAACATTGAGGTACATCGAGGGACTACGATCTTTTTTATCAAAGGTTCTTTGCTAAAGCGCCCCATATTCGAGGGACATGACTGTTTTTCCGAGGCAACAAGTGAGGTTAACCTAGAGGTGCGCGTGTGAAAAGTATGTTTGATTCAAGTTAATTGTCTTGATTAAGGTGGTCTAGGGATTGATTTTATGTCTTACCATACACTTCTAATTACTATATAGTATAAAGAAAAACAATAAATTGCGGAAATTAAAATTCTACGCTATTACAGAGCTTTCAGGAATGGAGGTACAAATTTACAAATGAGGGTGAATTAATGCGATTAAAACTACGACAATCTATGAAGTAAAAATTAATTAACAAAGTGTGAAAATAAAACTCTAAGTATTTTGTTTGAAAATTTTGGAAATAAAAATAGAATTCTATTCTATTAAAGAAAATAAAATATTGATTAAAAGAAATTAAATCATTTGTATATAATTTGTCTTTTGGTATTTTATTATGAAGAAATTAAACAAAACAATTTAAAACTAAATAAAAAGTTAATTAATAAAATTATTCATAAAAAATCTCTAACTTAACTAATTAAGAAAATTTAACTAATTTTAAAGAAAGTTAACTTAGAAAAAGTTATAAATAAAATTGTTTACAAAGTCCTAAGCTAATTAAGAAAATAAATTTACTTTGAAACTATATTTTTTATTTAATTAAAATTAAAAAAAAAACTTAAAGATTAAATTAAATCTAAACTAAAATTATTAAGATAATTCTAAACTAAACTTAAAATTCTAAATAATTAGATTAATTCTAAAATTCAAAATTACTAAATAAATTAAAATTACTAAATCAATTATAAGAAGAGCTGTGAAACAGAAAATTGAAGGTGTTGTCATGATTTCCGTATGGGCTTTTGATTAAAAGTCCAAACCCCTTTTTTGTTATGACTTTTGTCTAATAGTAAAAGGAGAAAATGAAAAAAAAAGATTGAAAAATGCACAAAAACGTCCCAGGGGGTCTCGAACCCGGGACATCAAGCTTTCAAACTCACGCGTTTACCACTGCACCAACTGACTCATTCGTTTATTTATTTACTTCTACTAATACATAAAATCAATTTTGAAAATTGGGTTAGGCCAAATAAAACAGGCCCAAACCCGGTTCCATGAAAGAAATAGGAAAGGATTAGTGGAAACCCTAAATGAGAGAGAGAGAGAGAGAGAGAGAGAGAGAGAGAGAGAGAGAGGCGCGACTGCTGGTCATTTGGGAAGGGAAGTTGGATTAATTATTATATTGTTTCCAAGACACTTATTTCCAAGGTTTACTGTAAAACAAAATAATAGCACTTTCTCTTTCTTACAAGTCTCCATCTTTATGTTCATGTTTTTTCCAAATTAATGTCCTGCTCCCTTTTGCAATTATCTGGTACGTCTTTATGAAGCTGACTAAGTTGTCCTACCAACAGGCTTGCATTTGTCAGAGCGTTCTTAACGGAAGGGAGAAAACTACCTACGGTAACCATCAACAGAACAAAAATCAATGTTGAATCAGCTGTAACAAGTTGTTGTTCTTGAGTCACAAGTTTACGAGGTTGTTCAAAAGGTTGGCACTTTGGTGAATCGGCCGATGGTGGATATGGATGAAGGTCGTTACGAAGGGGATGCCTGGTTTGAATGTGAGACCCAACAAGTGGGTAACGCGACCTTGAACAAAGTTATGGGTGCTACCACCATCAATCAAAATGTAAATTGGTTGTTTCTGAATGTGGCCTACTACACAGAGAGTTGGAGGTATGTTATGTCCCATTAACGCGTGAAGGTTTATCCGTGGGAGTTCAATGTCAGTGAGATCTGGTTCAAGTTCATGGGCAGTAGTAGAATTAGAGGGATTGGTTTCTGGATGCAAGAAGGAACGATTTTTTTGATGAAATTTTTGGGTTCAAATGAGAAAGATTCTTGAGTTTTATGGGTTGCAGCAAGAATTCCGCAGGGTAAACTTAAACTCTTTTTACAGTTTTTGTGTAATAACTTTTTTTATTTTTTTAAATTTGATTATAACAAAAATAATGTATGCAGATGCATATATAGATTCAAGATTCATGATGAATGCATAGAAGTAATGGAAATTTACCTTGTTGCTGGCTTTTCATTTGACAGGGAAGTTGTTTTCTGTAAACTTTCTCTCTTTCTCTCTTTAATTTCTGAAGGGTTGGAAGGGGAAAATGATGAAGATTTTATGGGGGTTTTGTTTGCTTTTGTGATGCTGTTGTGTTCTTTCAAATAATAAAAACTTTTCTCCTTTTTTTTCTTTTGATGGATGGATCATGTCCCTTTGTTATGTGCCTATTGTCTTTATAACCATGTGAGAATGAAATTCTTGGGGGAAAAAGAATCTGGATTTGAACATTTGTGTTATGCTGCTTTGCTCCCTTTTTGTTGTAGTTTGTTTTTTCTGCTATTTTAATGTAACTTTTGTATGTATGTTTTGGACAATTTTTGGGTTGTTTTAGATAGTAACAGCAGGGCAGCAATGAAGCAGGTTTTGGACTGATTTCCTTGGCATTATTATGCAGACTTTGGACGGTATGTGTAGCTGGTCTTGCAGTCTGTTTTTGACAACACTTTGGCCTCTTGTATTTGTCCTCGTTTACTGTGATGCAAACTGTTTTTTTTTGTGCAACATTTGGGACTATGGTGAACTCTGAATTTTGACTTTTATTTCTTCTCATTTTGTCCTCTGTGAACTGATTAAAGATTGTGATTTGCAATGGACGAAACACGGATGAAACGTTGCCACTTTTATTTCTGATTCTTCTTACCAATCCCTAATGATGAAAATGTAGAGAATTCTTTGAAATTTTCTATTCTTGTTCCAACATGAATTATCTGCTAACCATTTCTTTCTTTTGTTACATGTACAAGCAATTTGGACAATGGAGAAAATTGATGAAGAGCGGCCTGAAGTGCTCGATAAAGACTTAAAGATGAAGAAAACTACATTCTTTAGGAATTTTGTATTATTGCGACTTTTGTAAAATTTCGGTTTCCATTTGTGATTTGAATTATAAGACTTGGAGACCTGTAAAATATATTCAAATTCACTTTTAAATAACAATGATGCCTTGTTGTAAATCTTGAATTCTTGAATAAACTTGAATTATCTTCAATTACAAAGCGACTTAATAAAAAGTCTTGCATTTGAATAATGACACGCTTGAAAATATATGAATAGCTATGAACTTTGAATTAGGTTCGACAATTTGATTTGGTTCATGAGAATTGTGACTTAGATAAACCATGAATAAAAGGATAACTTTAATCATGTTTGCATTCCAAAGTTCGAATGAATTTGAGCAAACTTTAGCGAACTCGTTCTTTGATACCTTGAATTCAAAACAACTCACGCGAATGAACTGTAGAAGATTTGGACGAAACTTGTGATATCGTGTAATGCTTCGCTAACCTGGATTGAAATCAAGAACATTATTCAAATGAATCCTCAAATCATTTTCACCAAGATCCTAAATTGAATTTCAACATGGCAACTTGTATTATAAGCAACATCTTGTTCGAACTCAACATGAATCTCTGAATTCAACATCTCGTTCCATGAACAGTCTCAACATGGAAATCATAGTTGTTGTACCCTAAAGTTTTCCCTCTCATTTTACTCAATACATACTCCTAGATATCCTCAAGTTGTCATGTTTGCCCAAGAGTTGACCAGACAAACTCTCTCCTAAGGCAGGGTGTCTCAAATTAGGGTTTCCATTTTCATCAAGATAGGTGGAATCCAAAGACCTTATATGATCTCAATGGTCTTAATATGTTCTCAATACCTTACATGTCAAGTTTCATGCCTTTCATAAGAAGTTTGCTCAGTCAACTGCTCAGATGCTTGAGAATCGACTGTATTAGGTCAAAAGTTAATTGTGACCCACATATAGTCAAACTTCAAGATTTTTGGTCAACATTGACATTTTGAAGTGACTTTAATCATTTGATCAAGGTTTGATCATGATTCCTCAAGGAATGCTCCAAATTCATCAAAACCCAAAAGTTGCTAAATTAGGATTTCTCAGGAAAAGTCAACCAAAGTTTGATCAAGCATAACTTCCACATGATTTATCCGAAATTTTCCATCCAAAGCTCATTTTGAAGAGGATGAAATTCCCTAAAACTCATCTTCATCCTACAAGTTCAAAATATGCACCCAAAAAAAGATATGAATTTCTACATTATGGGTCCTTTTGAAAAGTCAACAAAAAACACCTTTTGGGTCAAAGCTTCTTACATGAACATGGAAGACTCAATTGAGATGATACCAAAAAGGTTGCTTAGGGGGCATCCTAAGTTTCTAAAAAGTCCAATAACACCTCTCTAGGGTTAAAGTTGGAGGAGATATTCCTTGTCAAAGTTGACCTTTTTTGCAAAATTGCCAAAATTCAAATGTGCTCAAAAATGCATTTTTTGCCAAATGGGCCTAACTTTTTATGCTTGCACCTCACTTATAACATGGACCACGACCCAAATATTCACCCACACATTATTTGCTTCATTTTTCAATTTATTTTGATTTTTTATTAATTAAAAATTGAATTAAATCAAATAATTGGTGAATAATAGCAAAGATATGTTTTAATTTGGTTTTTGGACAGGTTGGCAATCAAAATATGCTGAGATATCAAGACCAAAACGAATCAAGAATAATTGGTACAAGAAAGGGATAATTTGGCTAAAAATAGCAAGTTTACATGTAGCATAGAAATCAAATCAAATCTCTCATAATTGCAAAGATTCAATCCAATTTTATAACCCCAATTCATTCTTAGATATATATTGGACATGTACAAAGCATAAGACAGGGTTTTGCAGTCGTAGAAGAGAAAGAACAAACTCAAAAAAGTTGACAAAAAGTGTGACTCGGTTTTCACTCCACATGGCCTTTCAGAGAAATTCAAGGCCAGCAATCGTATCCTAGAGCATCCCTGAAGCCAGCTGGATCTTTTGCAAGTCTTATCATGCCCAGAAACATATGTAATCACTCCCATGGTTTGCCTTATTTTTTGAAAACGATTACATCAATTCCTGCATTGTTAGCATATTTGATTGACATATTTGTGATCTTTATCATATTTGCAAGCTGACTGAGTAGTTTAATTGCATTTTTTAAGCCTATATCTGTACTTGCCATTATTAGGGTTTCCACATGTGTTTTGGGGCTTCCTGATATAGGAAAAATTAGGCCAAGAATTGGATACTGGGATGATCGTGGCATCAAGACCAATTGATCCATGGTCTTTAAATTCATTTGTCGTGTATATTTTTTATGTTTGAAGCACGCAGGTTGTAGCAACGGACATGGTCTGTAGGTATAGGTCATGTGCCTAAGACGACGGGCTGGAGGAAGAAGAAGGTGGTTTGGCATCACCCTATTGGTTTATTTGAAAATAACGTGTGTGATTTTTGTTTCAGCCTCTTGGAATTTGTTTTGATATATTGCGCATTATTCTTATTTCTTTAACAACTAGCCAAGCATAGCCCAACTGGAAGAGGCGTATTGTTGGTGAACACAAGGACCTGGATTCGATCCCGGGTCCCAACAAATTTGTTTTCAACTTTTCCACTTACAGATCATGTGTAGCTCCCATCCAGATATCTACCATACGTAACCAACGTCCAGCCACTTGATCAGCCTAGCATGAGAACTAACGCACTTCAGATGAGAGATCATGGTGCACCATCAAAAGATCAGCACATGGGATTCAGTGCAGGGGTTGGGCCATCAGCCTTGGGCCCAAAATTAGTTTAGAATCATACCCCCCAGATTACTCATTATACAGGCCCAGTTTGTTTTTCTTTCCATTTTTTTTTAATTTCTTTAATTATTTCTTTAATTGTTTTTTTTAATTAACACAAAAATTATTTTTTATAAAACTAAAAAATCACAAAATACAGAATTAAATATTATTTATTCAAATTGATATTTTTGAAAATAAATTAGGATAATTAGTTTTATTTGATTACTTGTTTTAATTAAAATTAATTAGAAACTAGGTTTTAAATTTTGTAATTAAATTGTTTCTTTTCTCAAATAAAAACCCCAAAAAAATGCATAAAATCTTTTTTATAAGATATTTTCTTGAATTATTTAATTTAGTTTAATTTAGGTTAATTTCAATTTCTTTTATAATTAAAAATAATTAGAATTAGGGTTTTAATTGTACATAACCTAATTAAGTCTTTTCTCAAAAATAATTTAAATATTTTTTCAATTAGATTTTTAGGGTTCTCAATTTTTTCTCGTATTTAATTTGTCGCACGCATTTTAATTTGTTTTATTATTATTGTAACTATTTCGAGGATGTAATAGTAACTAGGGTTTTAAACTTCCGCATTTTTATTTTTGGTCAAGATAATTATGTAAATGTCAAAGCCTTGTAATAGCTAGGTTTATTTTTCGCACTTTAAATTCCTGCAAATATTTAACTGTTAGATGCATACTAATAGGATTGTATGGCAAGAGTATCTTGAATCTAAAACGGTAGATCACCTAATGTGCAAAGACTAAATAACTGAAAAAATTCACGTGCACATGCTCACTCCTAGGTTTGCCTCACTCCAGTTGCCTTCGGTAAACATTCATTAAGCATAGGGGATTTTAGTGGTTTCCCTCCAGTCTAAAAGATCAAAGTGTCCCATTCGAATGTTGCCTCGGAAATGTTTCCTCTGAAAGATCTTAAGACTCTAGGGTTACTACTAAAGTTTTCTAAGAGTTGCTTTAGTAATTGTACTTGTCCCTTTCGAACGTCCCTTACAAACTCCAACGACGGGGCTACCTACTCCTTAATAGTAGGATAGCGTTGTCTAAAGGAAGCGAGAATGAACCATCTTTTTCGAGTAGGTAGAATCTTAAGTACTTGCTCAAACAAAACTTTTCACACAAACACCTTTCAAAACCAATTTTCAAAACAACTTCGTGACACTCTTGAGGACTGATACAAGAGTTATCACGAAGTAAAACATTTTTAAAGCAAGCACACACACAAGCAATTTCAAAATGAGTAAGTACCTAAGAGCCCATAGAAAACCATGGATAGAAAGGGTGTTAACACCTTCCCTTTCTATAATCTACCCCCCGTACTCAGAATATCTCGAAAAAAGTTTTTTTTTCTATTCTTTTCCCTTTTCCATGATTGGATGAAATAAAAGTCGGTGGCGACTCTTTTTTACCGCGACATTTTGTGAACAAAAAACTCAAAACACAAACCAGTGTAATAGTCGGTTCTGCCACCGTATCACAGAACTGGTGACTCTGCCGGGGAATTAATAAAGTGGGGTTTACCTTAGGATATAGGTCATTTCAAATTGCTTTCTTGTTTGTTTTCTTTATTCTTAAGGGGTCTTTCTTGGGTTACTATAGATCCTACACCTAGATCTAGGGGAACTTATTAGGTAAACAGGAATAGATCGTGGAGACTCTACGGCATAGACCGATATGATTTAAGTGATGGTTGTATTGGTGTGACACTTTGATTGGTACTGGTATCCTTCGTGGGGAAACGAGGAGAATACAGGGCCGCCGCGTGGTGTCGTGAAGCACTGATGAACCTTAGAACCTTAGTTGAACAAACTTGGCCATTAAAAAGTAGTGAGATAGTCGGCCTCGGTGTAGAGCTAAGAATTAGTTGATACTCGATGCTACACTCATTGAGATCAGACTTACAGGATATTTCAGCCGCAAGAAAAGATTGCTTGAGTTGAGACAATGCCCGATAAAGGATGGTCAATGATATTGAGATCCCTTAGAACCTGGTTACTTTTTAAGACAGGTTTGAAACCAACTAAACTTCAAGAGGGTATGTCCCTTAACCTCATGCAGGCCTTAAACCTAAGGACTTGGTGTGATTTGACTGTGTTTGCTATACCTGTGTTTGTTATACCTGTGGTTTATCATGACATCATGCATCATAACATGGCATCCATTCTTATTTCACTAACCATTTCAAATACCAAGGGAATTTATCTTAGTTATGTTTTGCAGATCATGGCTTCCGTTCGTAGAAACACTATCCGAATCAGCTTTGTGAAGATACCTTCCCAACTCAAAGAGCTAGCATTGAGGGTTTCTGAAACTTCTGCGTTCACTAAGAGACATGGTCAACTTCTCAACCTGGTTACTTCAAACTTTGATGAAAAGATAATGACTGTACTTTTTCAGTTCTTCGATCCCAAGCACCACTGCTTCACCTTTCCAGACTATCAGTTGGTGCCTACCTTAGAAGAATTCTCTCAGCTATTGGATATACCCATTCTTGAACAGTTACCCTTCACAGGTCTAGAAGAAGTTCCTAAGCTATAAGTCATTGCCTCAGCTTTTCATCTGAAACGGGCCGACGTGGTATCCAATTGGGAAACCAGAAGCGGAGTCAAGGGTTTTCTAGCTAAGTTTCTGATAGACAAGGCCCAGCTATTTTGGGATGA